TTTTAGAATGGAAGTACATGATGAAGAGACATTTACTTAATAAACCAGGACATAACTTGTACTCTTAACTACGGTGCAGTACCGCAAACTTTATCCATTATAATTCATTATAAACACATATTAGTGTATGAAAAGATATAATTATATATAATGCTCGCTGTTTCATTACACAGATACTATTACTTTTGTTGTGGTGTGGGTGTGTGTGTGTGTGTGTGTGTGTGTGTATGTATATGTAAATGTATATATATGAAATCCGACAGTGAGATTTAGCTATCTTTTTGTTGTAAAAGAATGATGACAAGAAATAAATGAAATAGAGACTCTCTGTTATTATTTTCATTTATTTGTACAGAGATAAGTTCTTCAAATAACATCTTGTAAATAAGAATCTCTTATTTAAAAGTTGCTGGAATCTTTTGTACGAATTTTTCATTGTTCTATTTAAGAAATTTCAAAGTTCATTTAATTTTTAAATTTATTACTGGATATTTCTTTTCGATTAAAGAAAATGGTAATATTTTATTTTAAATTTCTTTTTCTTAAAGTAGTCAGCGTAAGTATTTATAAAAAATATATGTTGTCAAGATTATGATTTTAGCTAATTTTCAAACAATTTCAGCCATCCAATTATTGTTTCTTAAAATGTTTTAAAAGAGAACAATGTAAATACATGATTGAGTTTAAGAATCATCGATTACAAATTGGCCGTTTTAAGCATTAAACACATGTAAATGTGTATAATATCATAAATTTATCTAATATGAATACTACACATTCTTTGCATATTTGTATATTTAAGTAAAGTCACGTGATAGAATTTGAAACGCGATGAAGAAATGCTTGTTTTATATTCGTTATCAATATCGCGTGCCAATATCGGAGAAAGTAGATGAGAACGGAAGAGGAATGAACGTAAATAATTGGCATCTGCTTCACGAAATGTCTATTCGTCGGTTGAGTGCCGATTTGATTTGCATTAACAAGCTGTTTGGCATATTCACCTTGCACACGCCCGTAAATCGAGTTACTCCTGAATATAGTTGTTAGGAATGCATCGGTCACGGGTACTGTAAACGCTGTTGCGAAAGTTACCCATTGATGAGAGAGATGGACTTTCCACCAACTTTCTATCTCATCGCCGCATTCAAGAATGCGAGCCATATATGATTACGTTAATTATAAAATTATTCATATTTATTCTCCTATAAGTTTATCTTTAAAAAATTTTCTATGCTCGATTATGTAAAATTCGATAAATACGGTCGGTGCGACAATTAAAAAAAAAAAAGTATACAAAATTTTCTCACGCGTTAACCTGTCCGTGCCATACGCGTATTTTCAGCTGAAAAATAACGTTTCGAACTAAAAATAAAAACGCGGAGGAAATCTATCTACGGCAAACAACGCGCTTTATGTCGCGCACTGCAAAACGGCCTACCGGCTCTTTCGCCGCCGAGAAATCCTCGCCTCGGAAGGAAACGTGTGGCGGCATAAAAGACTGCACGAAATATCGAACGTGACGGAGGAGGCGCACAAAGCTCTTTGGAGACACTCGTTTCCATTTCGAACGAGAGAGGACCAAATGGCGTCCCGAGAAAGGGATGCCACGAAAATATATTTTATTATATACCCGAAGTACTATACAGAAATCACCGCGTTGCTTCTCTCGATGTATAAATATCGTAAAGGGGGGGAAAAAAAAAGAAAAAAAACATTTTAACGCGTGAAGATCTTCGTTTGATTCATGAACGAATCGATTATGAATCGTGACTAATGTCAGTCACCGGCAACGCGAAGAATGTATGGACCGATCATTCGTAGATTTTCCAGTCAGCGTAAGTTTTACACATGCCGTGACTCGCATTCGTATGAGAGGATTAAAGAGATCCGCGATGCGCGTATCAAAAGGTGCAGGCACACCGAATGACTTCCGTGCGTGCGAAAGCAACGAGGAGAAACAAAACGCATAAGTTTTATACGTGACAAGATTTCGTGTGCAATATCAGAATTGTCGGTTGGTGTGTTGCTAAGGTACAATTCTTACTCTTTTTATTTATGTTTGTTTTTGTTATTGTTATATATGAAATACTGCTACGTGCGGTTCGGATAAATTATAAGATTATTAAAAGCTTCCTTTTTCCAATTGCATTGTGTAATTCACTCGTGTTCGCCCACGTCTTTGAGCATTGACGTAAGTCGTTGTTTGTCTATTACCATAGGCGTCACGACATCCTGTTCGAATAAAAAAATTGCACATTACAGTCACAGATTTATTTAAATATTTTTTTTTTTTTCCGTAAAAATTATGTCTTCGCGTTCTTGAGTAATTCTCCGCAATCGAAGATGAACATCGTCTCTCGACGATGAAACTACTTAAAATTCCTACATAAAGAATCTGATCTTGAAACGTTTAGCACGGCGCATAAATTTTGTAGGAAAACTCGACGCCTATGGGGTGAAACGATCGCATAAGAGACGACGTCCGCTCGCTCGTCTTTTCGACGAGCAAACCCATACCCGTACACGCGGCAAGCCTCTCTGCAAGCGGAAGCTATGAATCTTTATTAAATCCACGAAATTTATGTCGAAGCGGTCGCGTGGATTGTGCAACGTGTGCCGCGATGGTCCCCGAAAGAGTATTTATTTTCTCCCTCGTTCCCTCATCCCCCTTCGCCGCGTGCAACATGCGTGATCTCGGTTTGCTTGGCCGTTTACATTGTGTAACATGCCACTCCACGTATGTATGCATGTATCGCGCTGTAATGTGGCTCTCTTTTCTTCCTTTTTTCCTTTTTTCCTATTTTTCGGTGATACGCCATCCTCACCGAGCGAATGATCACTGTCACGCGAGGACAGATGGACGTGATATTTAATTTGATACGGTAAATAGCCGCCTCTCCGTGTGCAGGAGCGAATACTTTCATTACATTCCTACGCTCGCATAATTCCTGATTTAAAACAACAACGTGGTCCCGTTGTTGTTGTTTCACCACCTTTTTTTTTCACCACCGACCACCGACCTCCTGTATCGATCGCAGGAGTTAGATAGTTCAATTTTCATACGAACGCGAGGATATTCCCGTTGCGCTCAACGATCTGTATTTTGCGCTAGCCTCTTTAAGAGGCGATATTATCATAGTGATTTATTTCGATCTTCTCGCCTCTACGAACCGGCGTTATTGCTACCATAAATTCAGACACGTCCACGATGTTTGATATATCTGACCTGACCTACGTTTGTCTTTCATTTTTCTACCTCTCATGCTCTCTTTAGAAATTTTGACATTAGACACGAGAATAATGAAAATTTTTCTAATCGTTGTCTTGTTCGCGTTTTCCAATTTATCTTCTTAGATTTATGTATTGTATTTTATCACGTATATAAATCTGCGTTTATTAGATATTCGTTCTTATATCCATTTTTACCTACATACCAAATTAACTTTAATTTTCATTTAACCTACTCTTTATCATTTTTTAAAAATTAAAAAAAGATAAAGAGTAAATTAAATCGAGATTAAAATTCTAACTCAATTCTAATTCAAAATCTACGTTAATAGAAATTAGATATTAGTTGTTTTATTTGTAATCTATAAAACGTATTTATCAAATCTAAAGCAGTAATCTAATAATCGCGTAGAAACGAGTGCAAATTTTTTCAGCCAAGTTGATAATGTTGTCGATTTTATAAATTTTATGAATTATTAATCCTTAAATTTATAGCGATTTCTTTTTTAAACCTAAGAGATATTGATAAGCATAATTTTGAACACCTGTATGCTTAGCAAAGCTATGCTATAGACATGAAAACATTTACAGATATTGCAGTTTTAATCGAGTAGATAAATGTGTAAATGATGGTGTAAATAACAATTTTATGCTTCATCTGTCTGTTTTTACAACAACATTAATACTGATAAAACAATGACATGTCGTGAAAGAAGTATTGTTATCTCTTTCTAAAGAGTCCAAGTTGATAACGAGTGTTCGTTAATTAGCGGCTAAAACATCGCGAGCAAGCGCGGGTAACGATGTCGATGCTCATGAATACATACGTCAAGCGCTTATTAGTCGGCTCGAGCTTCGCCCAAGGAACTTTACGTTATTACGCGAGGTGCATAAATTCCCGCAAAAGCCAATAAACTTGATCACATTTAAATGACGGGTGGAATCGGGTAGCTCGTACGTCTTGATGGCGAAGCAACAGCTAGTAGGGATGGGTTTATAGCGGATCGGAGGAGAGTTTAGTGAGAGAAAGAGAGAGGGGAGAGTCTAAGTGGGAAATAACGATAGGAGAGAAGAAGAGAGCAAGAAGGAGGGCGATGGAAGGAGAAAAAGGTATGTCTGTGATAAAAGCGCCGGTGGTGGGTTGATAGCAGAGGGAGGAGAGGGAAAGAGAGAAAGAGGAGGAGGAAGGAAAGGGGGAGGGAGGAAGAGAGAGAGAGAGAGAGAGAGAGAGAGAGAGGAGGGGGAGGGAGAGAG